TGATGACCTGAATTAGTACTTGAGAGAAAGTGTTTAAAAACACTCCTCCAGAGTATGCAACTTGAGACTAAGGATGTGTGCAAACTAGGATTAGTTGCAGGAATTACAGAGAACATTTGTCAATTCCGTACTGATAGAGTGATGTAAGAACTGGGCTAGTCAAAAGAAGGAAATACTTGATTGAGTATATGATTGAGTTGAATTTCCTGCATTTCTCTGGTAGCTACCATGACTGTTTTGGTGGTAGTCAAAGGTGGAGTTTGGGACAGGTAAGGTAGCAGAGATCACAGAAAAAGCAGGTGTGATCTTGACTCATGCTTCCTCCAGCATCTAGCGGAATGTCAGTATGTGGCCTCCCATGACAGGAACGTGATGCTGTCGGCGTGGAAGTGATTATGTGCAGCTTCTGATGAACCTGCAGTTTATATAATGCTCTCTTCCTTTTCTGGAAACTAGCATGAATTTTCGATTCTGGTGTAAAAACAACCAAGAATCAAGGAGTGTGGCTAGGTCCATTGCTTGAGTAAAGCACGCATAAGGCCCTGGGGTTTAATCCCAGCACCACAAAAAAATAAAAAAGCAAAAAACCAAGGTAGAACTGAAACAGATCTCGAATCCTTTGTAAGGAAAAGTACATTTGTTGTTGTTGCTTTAGCTTTCAGAGTGAGGGTGGCAAACGTGACTTATACAGCTAAGTGCTATCGCTCATGGTTGTTACAGCTGACCTTTTAAGGGAGAATAGGAATCACTGAGGATGAATAATGGGCGTCGTGACCATGATTCTAACCCTGTTCACAATGGACACAAAGGCCACACACCATGATATTTTCCCTGGAGGAAAACAGTGACAAAAATAAGGGGTGTGCCCATGTATCAGAGGAGGCGGAGGACAGCTTGTAGATGAGCAAGTTTATTTAATAAGAATTTAATCTCCAGTTCTCTCTTCTAATACAGCTATTTTAAAATCATCCCCTCTAATTGAGTAAGAGCCAAACAAGGGTTAACTAAGACCTGTCATTAGCAAGGTGACTATGTGCAGAGGCAGCCTTGGCTGAGTGAAGCCTGCCTGAGATGGGAAACAGGCTATGTCAGGGCAGGGCTCTCTGGCTAGACTCTACAAGCTTGGCAGCTGCATCCTGAAGATGAATGGCCTCAAGCAGTCCCGGCTGGAGACTTGCCTCTCTTTTCTCCACTGCTACAGTGTAGGTCTGGGGCACGTTTCACGTGCGTGTGTGTGTGTGTGTGTGTGTGTGTGTGTGTGTGTGTGTGTGTGTGTGTGTGTGTGTTCTGTGATGCTGTGCGATCTGGCAGGTGGCCGGTGTGTTTGGTGGAGCTAGTTCAGGAAAACAAGTAGCCAGATAGGAAAAGCTAAATGCTGAATGTGGGCAAGGGAAAGAAGGTAAACGAATGTTAACATTTGATGTCAAAATATTATACTTTTATGCTGTTTCTTCAGAAATGTTTAGAGGGATTTTATAGATCTTTTTTGGTAACTTAACCATTGAGTAGAATAAATATCTATAAAATTCCCATTAAATGGTGTCTAAAATTTAAAGCAGCAGTCTACAGGCAAAGCGCCAACATTTCTTTTTTTAAAAAAAAATTTATGATAACATCTAGCATTTTAAAATCAACCAGAAACTAGGCTTGATTCTGTTTAATATTTTGTAAGATTGGACATCTTAAAACAAGTCAATAATATTTATATTTTATAGCAATTCTGTGTTTATTCAAAACCATAGTTCTACTGTGATGTTAATGGAATGATTTTATATGGTTTTGTGTTTAAGTGCTAATGACCACATTTCAAATTAAAATAATATTTTGCTGATAGAGGTAGACACAGACATGAAATATGATAGAAGAGATCATTTTATTGACTGTAAAGTGTTTATTTCCAAAAAAATGTTGTTCTTTGTAGGGTTGTGGAAAAAATAACTTTTCCAAGAGTTTACGATAGTTGTCCATACTTTGGGAACTGGAACTTGTGCCTATGGAATTTTGGAGCAGCCTAAGCTACCTTTTAGCTTGAAAAGTGTGCTAGAAAAACTTCATTACCATGTTTTGTGATATGTAATAAATTCAGGGTGCTGTGCTTAAGCTTCATTTCAATTCTAGTTGGGAACACCCGTGTTCATCCCCTGCCCCCAGGTTACATGTGAAAGAGTAAAGTCAGTCCCTGACTCTTACCAGATGTGCATTGTTCTATGTGGAATAAGCAAACTAGAATCATGACTTCTAACACTCTGCTTTCATGTTTGGGAAGAGTTATGTTTTCTCTCCTCTTCTGATGTCTCTTTAATAAATATGTGGTCATTATTTGTCCTGGGAAGTGGCACTTTGGGCCACCTCTCAACCTTCTCCATGATTTATGTTGCAAACAATTTCTCTGTCCCATGTCTGTTGCTGTACTCTCTTGTCGACTGAATCCTATTCTTGTGAATCAATGAAGATGTGCTGGAGACAGTTTTTGTTTTATTACTCAATTATATTATATATGTATTTCAGTGAAATGTCAACCCATCAACAGAGGATGATGTTAAAAATTATCCAAATAAATAGTTTTCTATTTCTTTTAATCAGATCTAGTCCCATCAGTTGAATGACAGTAAGATTGCCTGTGGTTAAAACTCAGAAGTGTTCTTGTCCCTCCTACCTTGTAACAGGCATTAATGTTCGCAGTTCCCTTGGGGGAAACATTGTACCCATGTTTATTTTTGTAGAAATAGCAGCAAATGTCTTGAGCCTTGTCTCTTCTTGTTTGATCCTCAGAATTGTACCCGTTGTTTCTTCTCAGTTGACCCAAAAACAGGTCTAGCTTATCATCCCTTGCTAACTGTACCCTAGACAACAGAATGAATGGATTTCAGGCTAGCCAATACTACTAGGTATGTCCTTTCTTCACATGACCCAGTGTAAGAGCTTCTGCCAACATAACATTGCTTTCGTGTTATTTCCATAGAGTGGCAGATAGATCTGCCTCAGAACCAGGCGATTCCCTGGGAATTCTGAAGGAGAGAGTGTATGTGTGAGGGTGCAAGTGTTGGGTATGTATGTGTGTTCCGTCTGTTGTCAGAGGGGCAGCAAGGCAGAAAGCAGCTTCTCTGAACATACCAAGAATTATTCTGGACCTGACCTGGGACATGTCTGTCTCTCCCCTACAAGACCCCAAGCACTCCTAGATGGGAACCCTAAAGCTTTGACTTCTGGTCCCTCTACCCCTACAATTCATGAAACGAAAGGACCTGCTGTTCTGTGTTCACAGAAGGGGTCATGGCTGGGAGTGCCATTTTTAACAGCAGCATCTCATAGGCTGGGTGCTCTGTGGACAAGGCCATTTTTATAGCGACTCTTCCTGTATCTCCTTTAGGAATTAATATCACCATCAGTGGCATCTGCAGAAGCGAGTTTTGAGCATCTCCACCAGGGCAGCCCTGCTGGCTTCAGCTACTATCCTTTCCCTTCCCTTCCCTGAACCACTGCCAGGTATCCATCTCATGCAAGTCTTAGGTGTGGTCATCACTTGGTGGTCATCACAGCCCTACTGGGTATTGAGAAGGAAGGGGTCTCCTCCTCTGAGGGCTCAGACCTCAGCAGCTCTCCTCTGCAAGCTACACTGAGGTTAGAGCCTAAGCTGCAGATAGAGCTTTGCCAGCCAGGGTCTTAGCTCCTCTGCTGGCTTTTAGCAGCTACTGAGTCATAGGTAACTGATGGTGAATGAGGAGATGCAGGACCACAGACCAGAGGCCAGAAATGACATGCCTCTTTCAGATGCACATCTTACGAAGAAAGATAAAGCAGCTGCAGGGCCCCTATAAATCTTTTTTTTTTTTTTTTTTGGTCATGGGGCTTTTACTCTGCACCTGGGCACTGTCCCTGAATTTTTGTGCTCAAGGCTGACATTCTACCACTTTCAGCCACAGCTCCACTTCCAATTTTCTAGTGGTGAATTAGAGATAAGAGTCTCACAGACTTTCCTGCCTCAGATCTCAGCCTCTTGAGTAGCAGGATTATAGTTGTGAGCTACCAGCATCCAGATCCTGTAAGTCTTCTAATTCAACATGCTGGGGTTTCCCCCCCCCAAACTAATTGTCAAACGTAATTTTTTCAGTCAGAGACCCTATCTTCCCCATGTGCTTACCTTCCTCTCAGTGCTTACAAATGTTTCCCTAACACAGCTGTGAACAATGGAAGGGCCCTGTTAGATGGGGCCAGTTCAAGGAGCTAGGGAAAAATCAAGACTTCTAGGAAGGCCCTAGAGAGACCCCCAGAGCATCTTGCACTGAGCCATACTCCACATGAGTGGTCTCCAGGAACATGCCCCCTCTATTGCCAAGTACTCAGCCTATGCAGGCTGCAGGCCAGGTACCAAGATGACCATGTCGGCCTACTCCCTTTGCACAGCAGCCCAGGTGTGTGTGTTTGTTGATCCATTTCCTCATGGTCAGAGTGTACAGGTGACTGCTGTGTGTGTGTGGTGTCACTCACTCATCCCATGGCTTTTCAGTGGCCTCAGTAGCCCTGATGAGCACTTGGTACTTGTCTGTCTGGCCCCTGTTCTTAGACTGTCTCATCCTAAATACTGTAAGAGTCCCTTATAAACTCCCTTTAGAATAGCCAGTCTATGCACCCTGCCATGCTTGGGGTTCAGGAGGTAAATTCTACAGGTGGGCTATCATTTACTTAAGGTGTATTCTGGCTTTGGCAGAGCCCAGTTCTAGTCACTAGGCAGTATACCTGTACAAAGAGTATTTGTAGAGGAAGTTACTGGGTTGAAGGTCATAAATATTTTCATTCTAGAATCTAGGTAGCCTGTGATCTCCTGACCACACCCCATATCCCTTAGACTGCCTTTAGTTACACTCAGTAAGTCAGTTCCTTGATAGCCTTTGGACAAGGCTACTCCATTCCCTGCTGAATTCGGCAGGAGCAAAGCCAAGCCCCGAGCTGGACCCAAGGCCCATGTTATCTAACCTGTTCTGCCATTTTTATTGATCTAGGCGGGATTAAGGACATTGCACGACATTGGGCCAGAAATCCGGCGTGCTATATCCTGTGATTTGCAAGATGATGAGCCAGAAGAAACAAAACGAGAAGAAGAAGATGTATTCAAAGTAATTATTTCACGCCTAGCTATACACTGGCCACCTGGAAGTAGCGGGACAGGACTGTAGTTGGGGCAGTGACAGCCCATAGAGGAGTCTAGAGAACGCAGAGAAGCCACAGGGTCTAGAAGAGCTTTCACACTGTGCCCTCTCCTCCCTTTGCCAGTCACCGGCACCTCTTCTGAGATAGGCCAGCTCCTTCTCTGCTCCTGATTTTTAGCTTCTGAGGAGCTTGGCCATAGATACTGACCAGTGTAGAGGGATATCCTGGGTCTTTCTAGAAGCTGCCTACACTCTCTTCCTTCTCTGGACCAGCTCCTTGATCTACCAGTCAACCCTCAGCCCCAAGCCTAGAGTGTATCTACTGCCCCACCTTGCGGCTGCCCATCACCCCAACTGGTCATAAATCACCTCAGTTTACAGCAACTGAAGAGTATAGTTGAGTAAGAGCAGACAGTTTGCTCCCCAGCTCAAGAATCAGTAACCTTCCTCATTTCAGAGGGACCAACTAACCATATGATACATTCACCTGACCACTGAGACATTCAGATGACATTATAGGGATCGTATGGAGCTTACCTAGAATTTGTTTATTCATGTAGAAAAAAAATTACCTAACATGGCTAGACTGCATCAAATACTTGTTAAATTACCTGGTGTTGTCTCCCATTATTTTGCAGAGAAATGGTGCCCTGCTTGGAAACCATGTCAATCATGTTAATAGTGATAGGAGAGATTCCCTTCAGCAGACCAATACCACCCACCGTCCCCTGCATGTCCAAAGGCCTTCAATTCCACCTGCAAGTGATACTGAGAAACCGCTGTTTCCTCCAGCAGGAAATTCGGTGTGTCATAACCATCATAACCATAATTCCATAGGAAAGCAAGTTCCCACTTCAACAAATGCCAATCTCAATAATGCCAATATGTCCAAAGCTGCCCATGGAAAACGGCCCAGCATTGGAAATCTTGAGCATGTGTCTGAAAATGGGCATCATTCCTCCCATCAGCATGATCGGGAGTCTCAAAGAAGGTCCAGTATTAAAAGGTAACCTTTAAAATGTGTTTATGCTGGTAATATAGTGTCTGCCTGTGTCAAATCTGCCCTGGGAAGCAAGGCGAGTCTCTCTCCCTGTGCTCTGGCACATGGAAAAGATTCCCTGTAGACATCTGCACTAGAACCTTTGAGTCCACTGAGATCACCTGCCATCCAATACCCTGCTGTATTGAGGGTCTCTTAAAACAACAACCACAGAATCCCCCCTTCCCAGTTAGTGCTACATACTGTGTGCCAGGAGTTAGTGAATTTCTTTGTAAAGGACTAGAGAGCAAATATTTTAGGCTTTGAGAACCACATAGTATCTCTTGCATCCTCTCTTCCCTACCACCCTACCACTGCAGGACAAAAGTAAGTAGAGACCATATTTAAGTGAGCAGATTCTCATGTGTGTCCCTAAAAAGCTGTATGCATGGATGATGAAACTTGAACTTTTATGTATTCACATAGGATGAAATTATTTTCTTCTTTTGATGATTTTTTCAGTCCTTTATATAAACTGTCCGTATTACACAGGTCCTACAAAAGCATATTTAGCCAGCCCCCCTCAAATAGGTAGCCTATTATCTGCACTTTAAATGCTGTTGAAAAATCTTTAACTTGTATCTTCTCCCTCCCATCTTATGCCTTTCCTGGATAGAACCCGCTATTATGAAACTTACATTAGGTATGTGATGATTGCCTGTTTTTAATGTTCTGTCCGGTTACCAGCTTGCCTCTCTGATTGCTGAGGAATAGAACAATTTCTTTGAGCCAAATAGCTTGATGGGTTTTCATACTTCAGGACTGTGGCCTCAGGGATCAGAGACCATTGTTTGTTTGTTTGTTTTGGGGGTCTGATCATGGGGCCTGAACTCTGGGCCTGGGCACTGTCCCTCAGCTCTTCAGCTCAAGGTTAGCACTCTACCAATTGAGCCACAGCGCCACTTCCAGCTTTTTTCTTTTTGCTTATGTGGTGCTGAGGAATCGAACCCAGTGCCTCATGCATGCAAGGCAAGCGCTCTACCACTGAGCCACCTTCCCAGCCCCAGAGACCATTGTTTCTTTCTAACCAAAGAGCCCACCCAGTCCATATCTTTGTAGACTCTTGCCATCCAAGGGCTGGTAGGCATGTCCCAGACCTGCCCCAGGTGTGTGGAGCTGGGCAACTCAGGCTGCTTTAGAAGGATCAGGATTCTTGTACCAGCTTAGGGCTTAGGAAGAGCATGACCTAGATCTCCATCTTGTTTCTCCCTGGGCCCAAGCTCCCCGCCCCCGCTGTGTGTGTAATGTGTTCCACTGCATGTGTTCTACCCTAGGTCAAATTGTGGGCAAAGATGATTATTTTTGTTTGAAACAGGGATGAATAAATCTTTTGGTTTTATTACGTCTAATAAGGTCAGGAGCTCCTGAGGTACACTAAGGAAGCAGGCTCCTCCTTTGGAAAGAAGGCTGATGTCACTGAGCCTGCTGGTTCTCTTGAGGCTCAAGTCCAGGAGGAGTTTCTTTCAGGGAGATGATGTGCCAGCCCTGGAGCAAGACAGCCTTTGGCTTCCAGGAGACACTTTCCATGAGTACCTCCTGTGATATGGTTTCCAGAGCTCCTTTGCCAGCCAGCTTTGATAAAGTGGAGTCAGCTGGAAGGAGGTCTATGTCCCAGATTCTGAGGTCACCTTGGATGGAGCTGGGGCAAAGTGTGATTGGTGGGAGGAGAGCAAGATCTTTTCCCAGGACTGCTGACCACTATGTGCAGTGCTACAAGTCCTTCTTGCTGTTCTCCGAATTTGATTTGTGCCTGAGGCTCCAAGGCTTCTGAAAAAAGTGTCTTGGCCAAGCATTGCTCTGGATACTTACAGAGACACCCTGTCCCCAGCATTATTGCCAGGGGCCTAAACAAGTCTCATGATGTGTGGGGAGAAGCAGAAGCTCCTTGGAGGGCTGAGTGCTGTGTGCCATCCCTGCCCCACAGTCTCTCAGTTCTATCTCCCAACCACAGGTCTGACTCAGGAGATGAGCAGCTCCCAACGATCTGCCGGGAAGACCCCGAGATCCATGGCTACTTCAGGGACCCCCGCTGCTTGGGGGAGCAGGAGTATTTCAGTAGTGAGGAGTACTGTGAAGATGACAGCTCTCCTACCTGGAGCAGGTGAGGAGCTCAAGAGCCTCCCCTCCATCCCTCCTCAGTCTGCTCAGGGAGCCAGGATTTCCTCTGAAAAGCAAATCAAGAGCCTAAGCTCCAGGCCAGGGACAATGGGGTCCACAGAGGGAATGGAGCCTGTGTTCTCATATCTGCTGCCTTATTAAGTGCCTCTGAGACCCTTCAGTAAGAGCTTTTTG